GTATTTCATGTAAATTATCGAAGTTGGTTATGGGTCTGTGATATGAGACATTCTTTCTATTTCCCAACAAGCTAATTTATCTTTAAATGTTATGGTATGCTCTATATCTCCCAAGGTAAAATTAATCGTAATTATGGGGGGATTTCTTTCCTTTTCTTTAACTTAAGTGGGATGTTTCCTAATAAAAGAAACTTTTATCACCTGGTGCCACTCAATAGCACGTAATATATTCAACAAGATTAACTGAAAAAAAGGAGGAAAACGTGATATGAATAACTGTTATTGGTTAATATTGTTATAGAGAGATAATGCAATTATTATTCATATAAGCGATTTCCCATGAGAAAGTGACACAACCAGAGAGATTTCGGAGATATTAGCTTATCCACTGGTTTTATCTAAGTGATTGGTTTCGGGTGGGTCAAAGAGTTAAAGAAAGTTCATTTGCACAATTGTTTTTTTGAAATTGAACACAAAGCTACACATAGGGCTATTTGTGCTCTGCTCACCACGGGTATCGAAAGCCGGTTTCTAGCGTTGTAAGTTCGCAGACATACCGCTGTGCCACTGGGGCCATTTGCAAACAAACAAAAAAAACAATTCATCATATTTCATTTGCCCAGAAAAGATGACAATTTTTAGGACTTAGCGTAGCCCAATAATTAGCGTGGATGCGTTATAAGAGTTACTGTAAAATCCCACTTGTCGGCCTGAGAAGAGAAGTACAAGTGTTTGTGGTGCATGTGGTTGACTAGCTGGCTTCTCTCTAGTCTATCACTTCACAATTAGTTACACCTAGCGCAGATGGCCCTCTGTAGCGTTTCTCGAAATCCAACAAGCAAACAAAGGAAATTTCATCCTATAAACACTCAATAAAGGTTAAAAGGTAAGGACTGAAGGTAATTTCAAATAAGCCTCTCCCATTATAAATGGCTGGATGCCACTTGCTATATATGTTTTCACGACCAACGAATTTTTACATCCACCTTAAGTAGTTACGCAACTATTAATTTCAGGTATACAGACCAAACGCAAATGAATAAAATTTACACCAATAAATGATATGTTAAAGTTGCTTTAACTAAGGATTCCTTGGAGTTGCACAAAATATGGTAAGGCCTATAGGCTTGTCCATACGCCACGTTTACAATACATGTCTTCGATATCTAATGTTGTGGACAGATCGAGCCCTTTTTGCGAGACGGTGCTTAAAAAAAAAGTTCTTTTACAAAGACGACGGAACAGGGTGAGGGACATATGCCCCCAATAATCGAATTGGGGCCCGAATATCATGTGTTTTGTATGTACAATACAGTACATGTTATTATATGAAAATGTTGAATAATATTTCAAAGCGTTCATACTGATTGTCACACAATTTTTATTCGTATACGACCCCCCTCACACCCCTATGTTTTGTATGTTCCGACGTTCCTGTTTTATATCTAATGCCACAAAGTACATAGGCAATATTTTTCCGAAAAAAAATTCAATTAAAAACAAATTGTAATGGCATATCGTGCTGCCCCCAGTGGCACAGCGATATGTCTGCGGACTTACAACGCTAGAAACCGGGTTTCGATACCTGTGGTAGGAAGAGCACAGATAGCCCATTGTGTAGCTTTGTGCATAACTTAAAACAAACAAGCATATCGTGCTATTCCTCATTAATAAAGAATCGATTTTAATATTAAAAAAAAGTAGAATTTTTAAATATATTTATATAATTAAACTTCGACTCAATTAATGAATTTTATAAATATTTTTGTTAGGTTTATGAAGTATTCTAAAGGTGAACAAACTGTAAAATAGACCAGGTATAAAGAAAGATGATAAATCATGAATAGGACTTTACAAAGCACATAAAAACAACATTATTTTTCTAACTTGTATATTTGTTTGATGTTGTTCAGAATGAAGCCAGCTGCAGATAACAATAACTGGCTTTCAGAAAAGCTTTTGTCAAGGTAGAACGTCCTCTATTGACCTTTTAAATTGGTGTCGAGTCTTCTTCAACTTTAACCCTTTGTAAACAAAGGCAAAGAGAAAACGTCAAGGTTAGGGAGCACGTGCTTAAGTCCTTCTAGTTAAAATACGTTGTTGTCAAGTGTATGACAGTCACATTCCAGTTTTGTCGCTGGGGGGCGCACCGAGTAAACAATCTCGACACGCCTAAATCCTCACGTGCTCTTTTCGGCCTAATGGAGCTCGTTCAGTGACAAAACGCGGCTTTGCCAGCTATTGTCAGGCCACAATAGCGGCGAGAATTGCTGCACTGAACGAGACACAGTTGTCGTGCTGGGCCACTGACTTCACGGCTGTAGACTTTTCAGCCTCGTGACAAGCCGAGACAGCCGTGCCCTGTACTAACTCAGCTTGACTCATCCGTGCCGTTTCTACTTGTTCGGGTTCTTTCCCTATATGTCTATGTGTACAGTAATGCTTGTCATACCGGCTTCTTGTTGACATGGAAAGGGCCACTGCCATGTCATTACTATGAGAGAGAAAAAAAAAACTCAAGTGCTTAGCCACCGGCGACAGCTATTCATTCCGCCGGTATGTAAATGTTATGTGTGTGGATCGTCCGTGCGAGTTCTCTCGTACTTCAGTAATAGCTTGTTCAACAACTTGTCCGTGTGACGTTTTATCGTGTACTTGTCATACTCAGGTGAGGCCCGAGATTGTCGCCTGTGTGGCTTGCATTCCTCTATCACATAAACTGTCGTAAGCTGCCACTATCTCACCTCAGAGTCTTGATAAACATCTCCCGTCCATCTGCGTGCTGCGACCGAGGAAGGGAAGCCTAGAGAAGTCATTTAGTACTGCAGTCATAAGTAACGACGTTATCAACACCGCTAGTAACTTCTGTTCAAAGTCACCCAGATTGGACATTTGCAATTAAGCACTTGTTGGAAGGGCGTGGCATTATGTCCGCGTGTGAAAATCCTGTTGGCTAAAACTTGGAAGTAGCGATCGTCTGTTTTAGTGTCTCTGTACTTGAGCTCGAATCAAAAATATGATAATTCCAAATTAAACATGAAGCAAAAAAACACGAATTTATTTGCTAAAGCAATAAAAAATAATCTACATTATAATGTGCAAAGAAATTTTTTTTTCACCATTTTGATTAGTAACATAACTGCACGTTTCCGAGCAATATTTTAATACTGTATGCATTTATATTCATTTGCCAAGACATGTCAAACTCAAACATTTCAGTTATATAAATTCTGATTGTTAGCACTGTCACTGAAAAAAGGTGATTGGATAGATCTCTTAACTTCAATACAAAGTTGTCAATACTTCCTGCCCCCACCCCCATTAAAAATTTGTATGAGACTTTCCCAACTTAAATTGAGCATTTGGTCCAAAATCAAGGGTCACTGTATACTTACATATTAGTTTCTCTCTGTGTTTTTTCCTGATTTACGTCATATGTTGGTCCACATTGCATCAAAATTAACCTAAAACTACTATTCTAAGTTGTAAAAACATTTCCGAGGAGTATGCCCCCGAACCCCTCTGATTTCTGTTTTTCGATTGCAGGCTTTTTTCTGACAATCTTGATTCACATCCAACAAACGTTTAGTTTCCGATGCCCGTGTACGTCATTTACTACTTTGTACCGATGTGCACCATGTCTGTTACAATTTAAGCTTCCTGTAAACAATTAAAATCGATTTTTTCTTAATCGATCATATTTCTCTTAAAGAACACATGACAATTCTGCCGAATATATCTTTGCTCATACATTTTACAATACTGCAACATATTTGAGAAAAAACAAGGGTTAGCCACCTCTATCTATACGAAAAATGTGAGCAGTAATCTTACTGGCACATTTTCAGAGTTTTGTTCTTGTTTTTTTTTTTTTAGAAATATCTGTTTTCAAAAACTGGCTGATATTTTTTCAAACAACTAACCTAGGTAGCGTAAAAAACACCATCAACTAACTGCTCATTAAAAATTTTAAATGTTCGCAGCAAATTGATCTGCCAACTTCTCTTTTCAACTCTCGACGTGATGTGTCACTGTGCATATCCAATAAAGTTTTTTTTTGTTTAAAATGTCAGCTCTAAGTTTCGGTTGACACACAAGTTATCGGTAAAATAAACTTCTACAAAAATGCAGTTCAGGTTTTTAAGCTCAACTTAGAAAAGCAAATTGCTTTGAGTTTTTTTAAGGTTATTGAATATTGAGTAATATGATGCGAAGATTTCTATATTTCTACTGTAAGTTAAACAGCGTAATCAGTTGAATACTGTTGTTAGAGTCGCCGATATATATACATATACGAATGACTAAAAATTTTCCTAATTGTGACTTGCACACAGGGGAATTTCTGAATCAACCACATCGATTGTCTTAGCTTTCTGGCGCACGGTGGCGCTAGCGTTCACTAGAGGAGAAAGTGTTTGAGCGGGAAAGAACAACGTGCTGGGGTTCATCAGCAGACAGTACAGACAAGCAACGGAACTCCATTCACGTGAACACAGCAGCACGAGACTAGATCAGCTGCACGTGGAGAACTCAGTGTTAGTTGGTGAAAGTCTCTAGCAGGTTGTTGATTTTTTAAGGTTTTTTTTTCCTGCCTGAGAACCAATGACTCTTTCAGTCATAAGAAGACACTCATAGGAGAAAGGACAATCTAGGCCCTATGTATAAACCAAGATGACTTTTGGTGTAAATATATGTAATCTGACAAGTTACTTTTAGTTCATCGGGAAGTAGGCCCTCTTGTGGCGAAACATGTCCTTGCTGTTGATGCCTGCCGCCAGGTCGTTCTCATGTAAGTAAGCACGTGTCCTTAGTGTCGCTAAGGTAGGAGGTACAGTGGGAGGAGCTTAAGATGTTATGATAGACAAGTAGATTGACCATGGTGTCTTGATCACACACCTTACCCATACATTAACCCCGATTTTCCTTTACTTTTTGAAGTGTTGTTTTTTTATGATAGATAACGTTTATCTCTCTTAACTCTGTTCTTTTCTCTTAACTAGGGGACCCACCGTTCGGCGTCCAGCCCTCTGCCCCGGGGAAGACCATGTCCAGCACGGGACCTGGCCACGCTGGGTGCGGAGTATGTGCACGCGCGGCTGACGGCCGCCTTACGAGCAGCAGAGACCAATCAGACAGCGGACTGGGACAGCGAGCGACTCTTGTCATGGAGGTGGTAAGTACGCCACTAGCTCACCTCAGTATCGTGTGTCTCATGCTTACAGTGTGGGTGCCTGTAGGCCCCGTGCATTCTCTTCTGATGTCTTTGCCAACCGCCATAGATTCCTGGTCACTGTAGCTACCGTGTCCTGCCTGGCCCAATTCACCATGAGTGTAAGTTTTCTTACGTCGCTATTCACAACTGCCCCATTCGCTGGTCGTACGAATTTTCGCTTTTGAGCATGTTAGGTGTTTTAAATTGTTTTTTACCGGGTAGAAAACGTGTTAGGTTACAGATAGACAATCTGAAGTATCACTAGGTATTTAGTTAAACACAAAAGTGTGTAAAACTGAGTGTAAAGAAATGAACAGCTGTATGAGTTTTTAAAGTTTATAATCTAATACTATTTAATGTAAGAAATTTGAAAGGATAGAGGGATTAGTGACGTCATTAGGGCCCGCGACTTTACGCGTCTGTTTATAATAAGTACTGTATGTTGCATCTTTACTCAGTCCACAAGTATATAGCTCTGATAACCGTGTAAACTGGTATAAGGTTAACTAAAACCAACTTTTCAAGTTCATAGTTCACGGTTAATTTGCATATTTACCAGACTTAAAAGAACAAGTTTTTATTTTTTGTATGAAGTATGGATTATGTCAAAGCGGTACCTTTTGATAGTTTAACCGAGCACTGTATTTTCTTTTAAAAGTATAATCAAAGTCTGAATCAATTTTCAACATTAAAACACGTTTTGAATGTTCTGTTTCTTTCCCCAGGACATTTGAATTATGACTTGTCTACTTTTTTTTTTTTCAGTGACCCTTCACTGTATTCAGAATACTTGTATTTTATAAATATATTTCGTAATATCGATTAGTTTTTGGTTTATTATTGTTAACTAAAGTAATATTCGTAATAGGTTGAAATATATTTTTATGTTTGCATAATTTTTTATACATATGATCTGAGATCGACATACCCATAAGGTTTTATATAATTCTATGGGGATATAAATGATTATTTATATATTTTTATTACAAGGAACATTCACCGAATAAATGTTTGCATAGTAAGTAAAGGTATTTAATTCTCTGTGTAAAGTAGAGGTTCCTAATTAATTACCTCAGAAATTCCATTAGGCCTACTTGGCAGGCGCTCGTGGTTACGAACGGATATACATCCAATGTGTTCCGAGGAACACATCGATTATACAGTAGTGGTTGTTGGACTTTCTATAAATAATTAGAGGACTATATGACAAGCACATCCGTGATATAATCCGGCATCATTTGTTTATCAAATGGTAAGTTATATGTATTATATGAGGCTATTTTCCGGAATCGATCATCAGTTGTGCAACAGAAAACTTAGCTGCACGGTACAATTATTTTGTACTGTTACACCAACTCATGTTAGCGTGTGAAAAATCATACTGATTGTTTTTGATTCATACGATTATTGACTTACAAGTTGAAGCTCATTCTTATGGAGTAGAATCAACTGTCACCGGTGTACATATATATATATATATATATATATACTACGGGGCCATCTCATTAACTATAACTAATTTACAGTTGAGGAGAAAGTGCTTTAACATTTTAATGAAGTGTATCCTTAAGGTATAACATACAATAAATCTTAACGATTTTTGTTTTTTTAGAGACTATCTCTTGTAGTTTTTGTGATACTTTTGGAACAACAGTATAAGTTATACAAGCTTTGTAAAGGTAGATAGAAATTTTGATCCAGTTTTTTTAACGCACGGTGTAATACAACAACTATACAAAGAGCATTCTCATTTGAACAGTTTTAGTAGGTGGAGATTTCATTTAAAAAATCTCTCTTTTCCATTCGGGGGGCCCAGGCATGGCCAGGTGGATAAGGCGCTCGACTCACAATCTGAG